CGTAGCTGTGATTGGGCCGAGGGGAGGAGGCAAAGGCGAGGACTGGAGATGGGCTGCCATCTTCAAGGAAAGCTGGGTGGCCTGGAGAGGAGGCTACAAACAGGGCAAGGCTGAGTCCAGTAGAGCTGATGGAAAGATCTCTACCATCCTCGGCTCAGGCCCTGGTGTAGGGGGAAGAGGCTAGGAGACATGGTAAAGTGGGCGGCAGGGGGCAGTTATGCTGATCTGTGTTGTTTGTCCATACTCTACCTTAAAAAATTTGAGGCAGCTTACAGAAATACATATCCCGTTATACAGGATAAAAAAAAATAAACAAAAAAACATTGAATTGATGAAAAAATAAGGACTAATACCAATTCTATATTTCCCCAGAGGTAAACAGGGATTGAACTCCAAGTCTCAGACTTAAAGGAATCCTAACTTCTGTCTCTCTCTGCCTTCTTCCAAGACTGTGCTGCCCTGCCTGCCAACATACCACAGCTTCTTCCTTTCCACAGCCTTGAAAATCTATCTCTTCTTCCAGGAAGTGCTCTTGTACTGACTCAGAGAAGCAATCTTTACTCAACCTCACTTGAGGGATAAAATTCCTCTTGCTTTCCACACAGAATGTACTTTGCCGAGGTTGCAAATATTGACTTTATCTGTATTTATCTCACATTTATTCCTTATTCCTCTCTGGTATTGTTAGATCATGCCCTTGACCAGACTACCTCACGGGGTTGCTGGGAGAGTCAAATGAGGCAACGCAGGCAACAGAGCTTTCTAATGTAAGCATCATTACTGTCGGGAGGAAGAGCTCATATCTTGTCCGCTTGGTGAAGCAGCCAGGGCATAGTAGAAAGTAGAGATTTGGAGTCAGAAAGCTTGGGTTTCCATCTAGGTCAAACCGGGTGACCCTGGGCAAGAGACCTCATTCTTTTATTTTATATCATTCACAACCACCTTGCGACCTATTACTGCTAATGGGTACAGTGGACACCTGAATAGACTCAAGGGCTATCTACTATGGAGTGCTGAACCTCAGCCAAAATGGGGATCAGGGGGATCGTGTCTTTGGATTACAGTGTGGATGAAATGCAAGTATATGAGTAGGTGCAGAGATGTTATATAAATTATAAATCAGAATCGAGGTCAAGGACCGTTATTATTACTGGTATAATACACGGAATAAAGATGACTCATAAAGATATCCTAGTTGGCTGCTAAGTAAAAATGCTGGGCCTGAAACTGATGAGAGGCGGAAAAGGGTGTGGAGTCGCCCCTGCACCCCCAAGTGGGCCCGCTGCCTCGGCCTCCTCAGCTTACCTTTGTCGTTGGGGACAGATGCCAGCTCCTCAACGGCACCCCGGTGTTCCTCACGGCTGGTCTGGCCAGAAGGCTGGGGGGATGCCAGGGGCATGGACGGAGAGCTGGCAAGGTTGCCAGGCTCCAGGAGCAGGAAAGGGTGATCACAGCTGCCACTCTGGGGAGGAGCTGGGGCACGGTGCCCATCAGGAATGTCAAGGATCTGCCGGGGAGAGAGGGTGGGCAACGACTCTCAGGCCTGTCTCCTCAAGCCTGCAGAGCTGCGGTGACTCTGAGGGCCCTTTCTTTGCTCTTGCTCTCGTCCTCTGTTTATAACACACAGTGACAACAGGATACCACTTCCTCAAGTCACTGATTTCCCAACCACCCCCCAGTCTAAGGGAAATCCCCTCCTATGTGTCCCCTAGCACTTGCTTCTCTCCCCTCATAACACTTAAAGCCTGATTTATAATTACATATTTATTTGAATGGTTTCTCAATGTGTCACCTCCACCAGGCCGTAAGCTTCACAAGGGCAGGGAGCTTGTCTGCCTTCTGCGTGCCAGGCTCCGGGAACACAAAGATGAATAACAATGGGGGGCAGGATAGAGGGCACACCACCAGGGCACTGTAACCACTGTAGGCCACTGCGGGACAAGTATGCAGATGATCATCATGTACTGAGTACCCCTCCCCCTTTTAAAACAGTCAATGGTACTTGTACTCACAGCTCACCAAACTGTGTGCATGTGTTTGGGTGGGTATAAAATCCTATATACATGCAAATGAAAAATCAACCAGCAAGTAAATCGTAAACTGAGGAGTGTGCCCACTAGAATCATACTAGTACTGCCCAACGGGCATTCCCCAATTATACTGTGTCAGTATAAAAATGTGCCTGAGATGGCAGAAAAAGTAGCAAATAATTCTGCCTGGGAAGAGGGGCAGGGGAGAGGGCCGTGTAGGGGCACTGGGCATGAAGGATGAATGTGTGTCCCCAGGTAGAGACGGAGGGAAGGGAAGTGGTAACACAGGCAATGGGGTGGCTTGAACTGAGGCCCAGGAGTGACGGTGCTGGTGCCAAGCACGCGGTAACAGTGAGCTGGTGTTTTGGTGGAAGAATGCCTATTCCTTCCAGCTGGCACCTTCCACTCTGCGGACCCCTGCCCCTTCTCTGTCTCCCCACCACCACAAAGCCCTCCCCAGTTACACCCACCTGGCTCTCCTGTCCCTGAGACTCTAAGTCCTTTGAGTTAATAAACTCAACTTGTCTTCCTTCTGTAGGCTGGTGTTTGCAGGTTGCTCTGTTGCTGTAGCCACAGTCCGTGAGCTCCTGCAAGAGTCCCACCTCCCCATGTCCACTCAGCAGGATGCTGCCTGTCGGCGCATCAGGGCAGGGCCCCACTCACCCGCAGCAGCTCTTCTTCACCCTGCTCCTTCACGAACACCTCCTCTAGCTCTTGGTTGAGCCCTTCCAGGCTCCGGTGCAGGCAGGGGCTGAGTCNAGCTGACGGGGCAGAAGGCCGAGCCGGTTGGGTTGAAATGGACTTTGTTCTTGTCAGGACAGGACGTCAGGAAAGCCAGGTCAGGACCTGGGGACCTGGAGGATGGAGAGAGAAACACACAGACACACGTTTACACACAGACACACAGCCAGTGAGAAGGAATGAGAGATGTCACAGTGTTGGGAGACTAGGGGAGCTAGGCCTCTATTCAAACAGGATGGTAACTTGACCAAAAAACGATAGGCTACTGAGCAACAACCAGTCTTTAGGCTCCTCAGCCCTTCATGTTTTAGAAATATAGCTAAACAACAGGAAATCTACTTTAGCTAGAAACAGGAGGGATTGAAGCTAGACAGGAAGGACAGCTTCCTGGCAATGTGATTCTACAAGAGGAGACCACAGGATCTTTTGAGAGATTTCATCAGTGAATGCTGTTTGGGGGACAGACCCCCTTGCCTGAAAGCATAGATCCAGGCAAAGTGGCTTTCTAAGACTTTTTACAGCCTTCGGCAGGGTTTCTCTGCCTAAGCACTACTGACCTTTGGGGCAGAATAATTCCCGGTTGTGGGGGGGGCTGTCCTGTGCATCACAGGATGCTTAACAGCATCTCCGGCCCCGACCCACTAGGTGCCAGTAGCATCTGACACCCCTCCCCCCGAGCTGTGACAATCAAAAATGTCTCCTGACATTGCTAAATGTCCCCTGGGGAGGGGGGAAATATTGTCCCCCGTTGAAATCTACTGGCCGAAAGAATCTTATTCTTCAGCACATTTGAAAGGAATGAGTTGTTTCAAAACCCCTGCTGGGAGGGAAGGATAGTAAGTAACCATTGTGAGAAAGGCTGTCAGACATTATCAGATCTAGGTTCTAACTCATCATGTGGTCTTGGCTTGGACTGTCTCACCTTTAACATGGAAAGAATCAGCCCTACCCTTTTTATCGTGTAGGGGAAATGGAAGGATAAACGGAGGTTAGGTCAGAGAGTTCTAGAGAAAGGAATCCTTATGATTAAAAAAAAAAAGTGTGTGACCGTGTTTCGAGGGTGACACAGCCCAAGAAGCTGCTGGTTGTAAGGATTCTGGATGAGAAGACTAATGTGTGGGGTGACGGGGAGGCTCTGTCGCCAATGGTTCCCATCAACCACCTCTTTCTTGAAGTGTAATCTATATACAGAACAATGCATTTAGTGTGTAGCTTGATATGGTGGTTACCATTTTAATTGCAGAATCCTAGGAATTCCAAACCCAGGAAGAAGAGCGAGGCATGAGGGGGGCAGAGGTTGGCACAGAGTGAGAGATGGAAGGTAGTGAAGGCCTGGGGTCCCAGAGGACTTCACAGTGGCAAGGTGTCCCCTGACCAAGAAGGGTTTAAAAGGATCCCACTTTATGGAGGGGTGGGGAATGGGCAGGAGAGGAAATATTCTCAATGTGTGTACCTGCACGTGAGGAAGGTGACCCAGAGAGACAAGCAACGCTTAAGGGGCATGCGGGCAGCCAGCATGACCCCGAACAGCTTGATTTCCTCTCTGGGGAATCCAGGCCAACTTACGGGGGTCAGTGGCCAGGAAGAGGAAATCGTGGCAAAAGAACTACTAAACACGAGAACTTTCCCAAGGAGAAAGTTGACCCGATGAAGAGATCCCAATGAGCTGAGAATTTCTATCCCAGGATATCTTAAAAGTAAGTGACAGACCAGCACCTCTCTTAAAAGGTTGACACGAGGGCAGGAAGCTAGATGAGATGACTTTGAGACCTCTTCTGGCATTATGAGTCTAAAAAGGATCAAGACAAGCGGCTGCCTAACTTCCTCAAGCAATTCCAGGCTGTAATTACTCGCTATAACATGGACTGGCGAAGGGCATGAGCGTCCAGCGTGCTTCAACTACACAATCTGGCCTCTCCCCTCCACATCACCCCCGAGGACCCAGCATTCCGGAGAGACACCAGGCAACCGATGGTGCGAGCAACACCCTGGTGGCCATGGTTTTCTCTTGAACTCCCACTCTGGGCTCTACATGTACCTCCTGCCACCACCATGGGTTATCCTCTCCCTTCTCTGAGATACAAATGGAGCCTTCAAGGCCCCAAACCCTGTCCCAGCTAGATGTCCACGCACGCCATGACTAAACTTCCTGAATGCCATCCATGGAAACCACAACTTTCACGGTGAATCTGCTCTGAAGAATATTAAAGCTGGCGGGGGGAATGAAATGAGCTCTTAGGGTATCTGCCAAGGGGATACCCTGGCTGTGTGGGTAAGTGGAAAGGTCGGCCTTCGATTCTCTTTGCTAATGGCAGGGAACCGTAGCAAAGAAAATATAAGCATGGCTTCTGAATTGTCCAATCGGTTTTGAGAATATTCTATAGTCCTTACTTGCAAGGACAGGAAATTTCCATCTGGACATTCAGGACACTTGAACCACTGCAGCTACAAGGTGAAGACTTGACTCATAAACAATTAGAAAGCCGTTTAGGCTCCCCTGCCCCTCCAGCGGGGAAGCAACACTTCTCCTCTCGCCTGAAAACTACCAATATGTTCTCTCTCCCTGATTATGGTCTAGCAAATTCTAACACCTTCCCCAGGGATGGAAAAAAACCGAAGAAACAAAGGGTTTAGGTTTCAGAGCGCTTTCCTTTCCAGCTCCTGCTGCGCTTGTGGCTGGCATGTGGGCAGAGAGCAGGTTTCTATGGAGATAACGATAAGCAAAGACTTAAGTGCTCAGAGTAGGTAATGTCAACAAGTTTGATCATGGAAAAGCTGCAATACCAATAATCTAAAGGGGACAACACCTCTAGGATGAGAGAGAGTCCGAGACTGAAGCAGGGCCCGACCACTGGGACAGCCCGGGGCGGACCCCCCCATCCCTAAGCCTCCCTCAGAGGTACTCACGTGGCCTCTTCAAACACACGCACTCTCTCACAGCCTTCTGGGGGCTCCCGTTTGAAGACGTAGCTGTGATTGGGCCGAGGGGAGGAGGCAAAG